AACAGCAAACTTAACTGGTTCGATGTTCCAAACTTTGCTGAATGAAGACTTTTCAAAATGGTAGAAGTAAACATTCAAATATGTGAATGGGTCTAGTTCTTCTTTAAGTCCTGACATGTACTTGTTTACTGAGATGAATTTCGTCATCTTTTCTATCGGATAAAAAAATATTTTTTTTTAAAATTTACTCAGAAAAATTTTTCTTTGTATATACACCATTCTGTACGTCTAAAAGACTTTTGACATTTGCCAAGAATGTTCGTTTAGACGCTGTCATATAACCATACTCTTGACAATATTGTTTATACGAATCGTACAATGACCTTTCATCTAAACACTCAAAGTCAGTTTCATCTATGAACAGTTCATATACACTCTTGTTTGCTTCTAACAATGTTTGTCTCTCTTCGGTATGTGGAATTTGTCTTGGATTGAACTTAGAAATATCTAATGTCATGAAATATGAGAACAAGTGGTTGTAAAAGTCAGATGTCAAAGTTTCTGACAAAGCGTCAAAATATTCTGTATCTTGCATATGAGAATCTGACGTTCTGACAACTACATATCTTCTGTCAGAACTTTCTAACTTCATCGGAACAGCATTGTTTGAAACCATAACGAAGTTTGCAACATTTTCACAAACTCTTTGGTCTTTATATTTTCTTTCAACAACTCCAACTTTGTCTGTTATAAGACTCTTCAAAGCATCTGAGTTCAAAACTTTTGTTGTATCTATACTTTGAAGTTCGTTACATACTATAAGTTTCATATTCTCTATTGAAGAGTTAAACTTGCCGCAGATGTTTTCTAAGTTTGTCATATTCGGATTCGAATAACCTTCTAACAGTTTGCATAAGATATCTGTAAAGAAAGTGTTCTTACCTGTTCCTTGTTTTCCAATTATAATGAGAACAGTTTCATTTTTAGCACTTGGATGTTGTAAGATGTTTGCAAACCAACATAAGATATACTCATAGACTCTTTCGTTTCCATTGCATATAATTTCTTTGACATGGTCTAACCAAGCTTCTATAATATTTTCTTTCCATTCTACTTGTTCGTATTTATATCCAGTGAAGATAGAATAGAAGTTTGGAGAAGGTGTATAGAACTTTATACCACGAACTGAAAAATCTTCTAACTTTGACAATAAGATATCCCAAGCATCTAACATCTTCATGCCAACTTGTACGACTTTTATTTTCTTAAGTTTCTGTCTACATTCTTGTTCTGAAACTATTGTCGCTTTAGGTTTGTTAAAGACTACATCCCATTCTTTCATAATGTAATGCATGAAAATTCGGTTCACTTCATTTTTGACACTTTACATATCGGATGTATTATCTAAGAATTATATTATAAAAGTTCGTATAAAACGCAATAGAAGAATACAACACAGTATGGGTTCATACAGCTCTTAAAGATCTTTTCGGTGGAAAACCTACTCCAAAATCAATTTGGGACCAGGGTCCTAAATGGACAAAGGACTTAAACCCAAATCCTGAGTTCGAAATACAGCCTCGTAACTAAAAATAAAGTAAAAATACGAATAAACATTTTATTATAATTTAAATAATTTTTTTATTCATAAAGTAATACGATATATAGCTAAGCTATGTAAGGATATTCTGATGCTGAGAGTTTAAGAACTTTAAATTACGTATAGAAAAAAAATTCATTTAATATTTTGTAACATTTTTTAAATTGATAGATAGTTAGATTTTGTAGGGGAAGGTAAGATTCTTTGTGGTAATAATGGTCGTTGAAATTAAAATGAATGTAAGATTTGTGGAGAAATTGTATAAATTTGCATAGTGTTAGATTCAGAATAGGAGCATATGAGCCAGTGATTGTGTCTAATGTATAATTCTTACCCTTTCATTCCCTCGAGAAAGTTCAAAAACTTGGGTGCAATCAGTTCTGATTGCACCCAAGTTTTTGAACTTTGTATAAGGAATTGTTGGCTATGATGTACTGATCATGAATCAGTACATCATAGCCAACAATTCCTTCGCAAACAGCGGGAAACTTTGTCTGAATAGTTTAACATTCAGACAAAGTTTCCCGCTGTCAGAGAGGGAATGGAAGGGTAAGAGGTATATATTCATAATGTATACCTCTTACCCTTTCATTCCCTCGAGAAAGTTCAAAAACTTGGGTGCAATCAGTTCTGATTGCACCCAAGTTTTTGAACTTTGTATAAGGAATTGTTGGCTATGATGTACTGATTCATGATCAGTACATCATAGCCAACAATTCCTTCCCAAACAACCCGAAATTTGTCTGATTCCACACTAATTTTATTAATTTATCTAAACTTTTATCCTCGTCTACAATTTAATCATCAATAATTATCTCTTGTTCTATTTCACTATTATATATATATATATTTATATGATTTGATTTAAAAAAAATAAATAAATAAATTAATAAATCATTTAAAAAAAAAAAAAAAAAGGTAGTGGGGCTTCCAGGCACTTCGTGCCCTCTAGCCCCAGTCACTTTTCTGTCACTTTTCAGGAAAAAAACAGTTTTATTGTATATAAAATGAATTTTACAAAACCACCGTTACCCTTCTTTGGAAATAAGAGTAGATGTAAAGATATTCTATTGAGAGAACTTAAGAAACTACCGAATGGTCTAACATTTGTAGATTTGTTCGGTGGAAGTTTCTATATATCTCATTTGTGCCATACCGTATTCCCAAACTCAAAGATTATATGCAATGACTTCGACAACTATATGAACCGTCTCAAACATATACCAGACACAAACAAAATATTGAGTGAGTTGAAAGAAAAGATACCTATAGGTAAGATGGAACGTATACCATTAGATAAGAAAAATATTGTAAGAGAGGTTTTGAAAAAAGCAGAATATATAGACTGGGATAGTATATCTGCTAGACTATTATATAGTGGTGCTATAAGAGTTCATGACATTGAAACACTTATGTCAAAAGTTTTATATCTTAACTATACAAACGTTTTCAAAGAGGACATAGAAAAATATATTGAGGGTATAGAGTTTGTGAGATGTCATTGGACAGAGTTGTATGAAAAATATAAAGACAAGGAAAATGTTTTCTTTATAGTGGACCCGCCGTTCTATAACACATGGGATTTTCAATACCAAGTAGACTGGACTTTGAGAGACTCTTTAGAAACTTTAGACGTTTTACATAACCATCCATGCTTTTACTTTACATCCGATAAAAGTGGTTTGGAAACCGTTATGAGATAGTTAGAGGACATACATGACTATGAGTTTAGATATGACAAGATAGAATATGAGAGAGGTCCTATAAACCGGAGAAAGTGTCATAACAAAGAAATTTTATTGGTAAGTAAATGTGGTTTGAAATAGGACTACTTGTTTTAGGTTTTTTCCATTGTGTCATTTACTTATTTGACGTGGCAGAAAGATATAGAGAATATGAAGATGAACCAATGCCAGCAAATGTTCAGTATATGTACTCGTAAGAGATATTTTTGTCTAATATTAAATGGACGCACAGAACTTAGCGAATGCACAGCAACCCGGACAACCAAACCCAGAGAATATTCCAAATGAAGTTAGAATACAAACTGCAATGGCAAACTATGGTCAAGTGCCAACAGATGTACAAATGCAAACTGCCATGTCAAATGACGCTGCGTTAGGTTTGCCACCATGGTATGCAAATATGAGATGGAAAGAGTTTTATACAAACCCTGAAGTGGGATATAAACAACTCTATGCAGATGACGCGAACACAGGAGTTGACCCAGAGTATGTTTTCTACCAGAGGAGAAATAGAATGTATGAGCTCCAGTTAAAAAATGCTATGGAACTCAACAGGAAACGTAAGAGACTAGGCGGACATTAGATTTTTACATATAGTAAAATGGGTTTCTTTGGAAGAATAGGAAACTTCTTTCGAAATGTTGGAAGAGGTATATGGAATGGAATAAAATCTGTCGGAAGAGGAATTTGGAACGGAGTCAAAAATATTGGCAAAAGAGTAGGTCAGTTCGTTGGTATTATACCTAAAGACCCTGAACCAGAAGAACAAGCTCCTGTTATACAACAGCCTGAACCTGCACCACAGTCAAGTTGGCAACCAAATCCAACACCTCAACCGTATTAAAAGATTATATTTTTACCGTTCGATAGTAGTTGTATATGAAACTAAGTTCTAAGTAAAACGCATGGTATAATGGAACTATTCTCTTTCTTCCATCTGTTGTAAACCATACTTGAAAGTCTGAAATACTTCCACTCGGTGGTTCATATAGCTTTGTAGGTTTTTCGTAAAAGTCATTTGCCAAGCATAAAAAAGAGTTTTGTGCACCAGAAAATGAAGCATGAACTATAATAGCATCTGAGTCGAAAACATTTTCATATGTTCCATTAGGGTTTTCGACTTCATAAAAGTTCGGGTGTACTGGATATGCTGCAGGCTGATTTAACATCCTCAAAAACCTATACCATGCCAAGTTGTTATATTTTGTAGAAATATAAACGTCTTCTCCAAGGTCTTCTATTCTGTTGATTTTAACAGTTGCATTTTTCCTGTCATATAAAATATCGAGATGGTACTCTCCTTCGTCAATGTTGTACTGTTTTGCATATTCGAGATAGATATCGTTTATTTTTTCTTGAAAAGCTTGAAGAGTTGTTTCTAAGTTTACAAGCAAACTAACTTGTAAAAGTTTTCCCTGTTCAAATTTCTCATACGTACGTTTTTCTTTGTTATAGTATCGAACTTCAAAACCGACCGTAAATGGGAAACCATGTATGGCTTCTGAAATGAACTTCATTCTACGAAAGCCAACAGCTTTTGTGACGGATGGGTCTCTTAACCATCTCAATGGGTAGTCAAAACGATAGCCTTCATGCTTTACGGTCTCTGTCTCAAACTTTTGACCGACGTTAGTAAAAAGTTCATCTAATGGTTTAGTTGTAGCAACTCTAGAATTTTCTTTTTCTATTGAAAGCATATTTTATCTAGAATAAAAATGTCGAAAGAAACAGCGTCTATGAGAGAAATACAACACAACCGACAACTCATTATACAAGCTCTAAATAAGAACACAACAAACTTTTCAAACTATTCTAAGATATCTGAGTCATTGAAAGAAGGAAACTTAAAACTGACAATGAACCCAATGACAGATGAGTTTCTGTTTCAAGACAATAGGAACCATACTGTCTGTGTAAATCCAACAAAAGGAACTTTAAACGAGAAACCTATAAAAGAACTTCTTTTGAAAGCAGATGTTGACAACAAAGCTGACAAAGAGTATGTCATTGAAAAAGTTCAAGAAGAACATGACAGAGCAGATGCAACATATGCAACAAAAGCAGATGTTGACAACAAAGCTGACAAAGAGTATGTCATTGAAAAAGTTCAAGAAGAACATGACAGAGCAGATGCAACATATGCAACAAAAGAACATACTCATCCTGAACTAGCAGACAAAACATATGTTGACAATAAAATGTCAAGTGAAGTGACAAGAGCTGAAAACGAATATTCTAAAAAGACTCATACACATACCATTGCAAATATTACAAACTTACAAGAAACCTTAAACAGGAAAAGTGACGTTGGACATACACATACCATTGCAAATATTACAAACTTACAAGAAACCTTAAACAGGAAAAGTGACGTTGGACATACACATACATCTTCTGAAATAACAGACTTAAACGTTAGCCTTGAAAAGAAAGCAGATAAAACATATGTCAATGAAATATACCAAAGTTTAGTTGGAACAAAAAATATTGAAACTATGGTTGGTGACTTTTCTGTCTATGAAGAAAACAAATATTTTAGATGGGAGTTTGTACAGTCCTTAAGAAATGGTACACGGTATAAACTCATTCCGAAAAATAACAATGAAATGTATGTAAGCTATATAAAGAATGATGGTACACAAGTTAAAGTTCCATTAGACAACAACTGCTACTTAAACTTATATGGAGACGAACAAAAGAAATATTTAAGAGTTTATGAAATGGCAGATATGACATTGCCTGACCCAGCTCCAGCACCATATTATTATGACTATGGAGATGACGTTAGAACACCACATGTAGATGAACAAAAGCTAACATTATATTTAGATTTTTATAGATATAAAAGATATAATGCAATAGAAAAAACGAGAATAGTATACTATTATGAAGATGACAGAAATAAATATTATAGTCAAGACTTTACCTACCCTGAAAACATAAGATTATATTATAAAAAATATTCTGACACAAACCAGAAGAAACCTGAAATAGTTGCACTATATTTTAAGTTCAAAAGAGACAATCCTATAATATCTCATATGTTTGATTTAATGAACCCAGTAGGTTCTATTTATACATCTATGGAAGCAAGAGGTCCTCAAGTAACGTTTGGTGTTGGTGCATGGACTCAAATAGTCGACAGGTTTTTGTATTGTGCAAACTCTTCAAAGGAAACAGGTGGAAGTAAAACGATTTCAGGTGAAAACCTACCTGCGCACAGTCACTACATAGATTTAAGTACATCTCAAGCAGGTTGGCATAAGCATAGATTTTGGGATTGGTCAGCAATGAAAAAAGGTAAAGGATATGATGTTAAAGACGACGTTCAGTTTGCTATAAATTGTTTCTGGGGTAGCACACAGGGAGAAGGAAACCATACACATCGCGTTTCAGGGTATACGCAAACAACGGGACAGAGTAAAGACTACATGCCACCTTACATGACAGTTTACGCATGGTATAGAATTGCTTAGTCGTCATTTTCAACTTCTTTAGCATATTCGTCAGGAGTTGTCTTATATTTGTTAGGAACTGTCTTTGAAAGTATACCACCTTGAACCTTAACAAGTTTGAAACGAGGTCTGACAATAGTAGTTTTATCTTCTGCTTGCAGTCTGTACATTTTGCCATGTTTGCCTAAAACTTCATAATATTCTCTTGTATACTTTCTTCTATTTTTACGAACACGAATGTGAGTACCTGTCGAGTTCCCATTGTTGTCATAGTCAATAGTATTTTCATATGGGTCGCGTTTAGGTATTTCTATTTTTACTTTGTCACCTTTCTGAAGTTTGAAGCCTGGCATTCTTTCTTGTTTGTCTCTTTTGACTAAACTATTAAATATATAGTCTTTCTCTAAGTCAGGGTTGTTTTTCATTTCTTCGGGGAGTGGTTTCCCAAACCTTTTTGTTTACGGCTATTGTAAATATTTAAAACTTGTCTCATCTTTGCCATGGAGAAGTGTCTGTACTTGTCGTCATATGACATTTCATCTACCTCACGACCTTGTGGTTGATTTAAGTCTCTTAAGATTTTTATACAACTGTCAATGACACCAAGAGCAGAATGGTTTTGGTCGACAATGAAATATTGGTTTACATTTTTTGAACGCAGATAGTTTTTAATATCGTCTGATTTGAAAGAACTTTCACAGTCAGATTCAGTTTTGTTGGATGGTATTTGTCAACGAATATTGTCAAAGCAGTTTTCACATCTAAAATATTTTTGGACCATAATGGTATGGCTTCACAGTATCTTGTGTTTTGACCAACAAATATTAGCCAGTATGGTGGTCCATCTTCTCTATACCTCGGAATGTTTTCCAAGATATCCATAAACCAAGCATTTGGTGTTGAACTAAAGATTTTTACCATGAGTGCTTTCTTTGTTGCTTTAGAAACATACGGGTCCTTGTTTGGATTCGTCATTTTTAACCCATAAGAAATGGGTTTATTTGGCGCATTATCAGGAGTCGCATCTAGATTTTTGCCAGCAGTGGGAACAATAGCCAGAGGTGTATTTGGAGTTGGAAGGAAGATTTTGAGTACATTAGGTATACTGAAAGAGAAAGCACAACCTATTATACAAACTGTACAGAAAGGTTGGGATGTAGCACGAGATGCAACAAATCTTATTCCAAATCCTGAAACAAGAGGAAAAGTTCAAGGATGGATGGACAATGTAGGAAGACAAGCAGGAAACTAACTATAACAAAGCAAATGACTACTATAACCAAGCAGGGCACTATATGGACCAAGGTGAAAGATTCTTTAACAGAGGATATAACCATGCACAACAGTGGGTAAACAACAACCAACCTCAACCGCCTCAAACGTGGGGAATGTAAAGTTTTTTACTGAGATGAAATGAACAATACAGCTTTGAGACAAATGGGCTCAAGATGGATTTGTCGGCTTCCAGCAGTTACACAACCACGTGTTTGTCAAGTTCTTCCTATACCTCAGGAAGTTTTAGACCGACTTAAAAAACCTCAACAACCAGTTGAAAACAAACCAAACTAAAATTTTTTACTGAGATGAAATGAACAATGCAGCTTTAGACAGAATAGGTCATGGAAGACCACCTTTTAAACCACGTGTTTGTCAAGTTTTTCATATACCTCAGGAAGTTTTAGACCGACTTAAAAAACCTAAACAACCAGTTGAAAACAAACCAAACTAAAATTTTTTACTGAGATGAAATGACCGAAGAAGTTGAAACGGTAGATTTGACACCACAAACAAAAAGTTCAGAACCATTGTCAAAACCTGTCAAAGAACTTACAGATGAAGAGAAAAATTCAATAATAGAAGGTGCCAGGTCTGGAAATACAAATCCTAACTACAAAGTCACTTTTCATAAAAATGGAACGGCTAGTATCTCAAAAAAGAAACAGACTCTCACAAATAAAATATTGAAGTCTGAAGGAGCTTTCGAGACAACAGATGGAAAAGTTTACTTCACTGACCAACAGTTCATTATAGAACATCTCATTGACTTAGAGTCGAAATATTCTAAACTTTACAACAAACACAAAAAGTTGAAAGGAAAACAGAAACAAATGGCATATGATATTTATGAAGATGTTGACGACACAAGTGTTCCAGCAAGTGAGGTAAAGTCAGATGAACCAAAAAGTGACGAAAAACCAATAGAAGAAGGGAAGCCAAAAACTGAAGATAAACCAAAGGTTAGTTTCAATACTAAACCAAGTCAACCTTCATTAGCTGGTATGGGTTGGCGTCAAAGACTTATGGCAGCTGGTGGTTATGTAAAGTAAAGAAAAAAACATTTTTTTATTTTTATAGAAATGCCCCCATATAGAATGGACAGAAGGTCTGCTAGAATAAAAGCAGAGTTAGAAAGATATGGTTGGAGAGTTTCAAAGAAGTTTAAATATAGGAAGGGAAGACCCATAAAAGTCTATGACAAATTGTCTGGTCTTCGCTATGAAATGGACATAGAAACAGCACGCGCCAATTATCCAAACAGACTAGAGAGGTTAGAAGAAGAGCGTCTTATGGACATGCCTTTCGATGTTAATGAGCCTCAAGTTGAAGGACACGACGGCTTTGCCAGATTCTACTGGAAACATGACGAACAATTGCATCCTTTGAGAAGGAAAAAAGGGAAGGGTGAAGACGCACATGCTCCCATGGAAAGAACAAGATATGCATATGAAAAGTATCGTGAAGTTAGAAGTAAAATTACATCTGGTCGAACCTTTACAGTAAACTTTGACGAAGGAAAGAACAAAGAAGGCTTCATGGGTGTACTTGCTGCAATTCAAGACGGAAATAAGAAAGGATACAATCTCAGACTAACCGTAACAGATTTAGATGGTCATATTTACTATGCACATGGCAATGTCACAACAGCCGCACAACTTCTTGACGCTTTCAAGACTACAAAGAGAGAACAAATGTTTGACTCCGACTCAGATATTTTGAATGCAATTGAAGGAATTGCAAGCGTGAAGTTCGAATGGTACCAACCCAACCCTCAAGCAGTCAGACAACATGCTGGATACTTCCCTTCAGAAATAAGTCTGACATTGACTTGACAAGGTATGGAATTTACAATTCAATTGAAACAATTGTCAATGAACCTTGTATTCTTACATGTCTCAGGAACTCTGGTCTTGTTACAGATGAGAAAATGAAGTATCTTGAGTCATGTGTGAAAACAAGGTACATTCTCAGAGGTCAATTGACAAAAATTGCACCGTTGGCAAATGTGAATATCCGAGTTAACATACCTACTGATAAAGGTTCTTCACACGACGACTATGTTGTTGACAAACTTACCATGGTTGAAGATTGTACTTATCCACAACCACTTCATGTTGAACGAAAGTCTTACAAACCCATTGTTCGGAAAAGGCAAGTGCAACATTGTCAGAGCTGTTAACATTCTTTTCGAGAAAGGCTTGTTGGAACCAATTCCAGATGACAAGCTGACAGAAACTTTTGTACCAAAAGACGAAACAAACTTTTCATTGTTGGTAAGACCAAAAGTTGTTCCAGACAAAGTTATAGCACAAAAGAAGTACACAGTTCCAAAAGGAGTTGGATTGTTCGGATACCAACCTGAACCAGAAGAACTTCCAATGAGGTTGCAAGAACTTCAAGATGCTATAAACAAACTTCCATTGAGACATCCAATCGACGTCAAATTGTATTGGAGAGCATCTGAGTTAGGTCAGAAGGTTTTATATGAAACAGGTTGCTTTGACGATGTTTATGAGATAACAGGAGAGTTTCTCAGAAGATAAGAGACTCACTTGAATTTCCAAACTGGGCCGATTGGATGCGACAAGTTCGACTCATATGAAAAAATATAC